TGTAAAACTGATAGAATGTATTCCATTAAACATGTAAACAGCAAATTGAATTTATTAGTTGAATTTATTTTCATTTAATTGATGTAAATGTGACATAATTATATACGACTCCAAGTTACTTTTTCTTGACAAATGGTTAAGTACTTTTTTGATTAAGACCTGTGGTACAGTACAGGATACCTCTTTGCTCATCTTTTGTTTTGCTGAAGATTTTAGGAAGGATGTTGTTTAGAAACTTGAAAAGACCTTTTTTTTTTTGAATATTAAGGTTTTTGCTGTTTTCATATCTCATTCATGGATAAGTGCTTTCTCAAAGTCTAATGTTTAATTTCTGGCAAGCCATTAAAATGGTGCCAAACATCAAGAACATTGTCTTGTATAACTGAGTAAAGCATAATACAGGAAGAAAATCATAACAGAGGAAATGTGTCAAGCTTAAGAATGTTTTCTCAGTTCCTTCGTTTTTGTGGGAAGCTGAATCTTGATAATCTTTGTAGCTAAGTGCATCTGTGTTAAACATTTAAAATAGGTAGTACTCATGGGAAAACTGATTGGAGCTTAGAACTTGTACAAATTGACAGCCTCTCTTCATTCCATTTTTCATCCTAAAGAAGTCTGCACATATTCTTAGCTCACATCATTATTGCTCATCAGTGATTCTAATTAGCTAAACAGGAGTTTGTCTCAGTCATTGATCATCATCAGCTTCTTGACAGTGCCTGAATTTCCCCCCCCCATATTCCAATAGACTTTTAAAAACACATTTTAAATACAGAAAAGCTCAATGAATGAAATTGTTCAGATTTTTTTTCTCAATATTTATTACCCTTTTAAACAAGAAGATATGATGACTGAAATTCTTATCAAGTTCCAGTTTTGGATATGACGGCAGATCCAAATATGGTATGTAAGTTCCAGTCTGAAATACCATCTTGAGTGTATGTGGGGAACTATCCTGTGAGAAGCATGGGAAAATGTCCTATGCCATCAGGTGAAACTGCTGATAAACTTCCATTTGAGGTTTCAGTTTATACTTTAGGCTTCTGGCAACTTCCATTATGTACTTCTAAAAATTAAAACACTTTTCTTTATCTGTGTGTAGTTACATGTTAAACTATTTTTGGGGACATTAGCAAGCATGGGGTATCTAGAGAGCTTGAAAGAAAACATCCTAAGGGCAGAATATATTAAATTTAAACTTATCCCGCTCATGATGATGATGATGATGATAGATCTGTGTTTATAAACTATGTTATTTGACATCTTCATTTGAAGGAGTGTTTTACCAAGCATTACATAGGTAAACACTGCATTTAACTAGAAATGTGCTGTGAACTGTTGGCTAGTATGTAACTCTTTTCCAGATATATATTTTGCTTTAACAGTGATCTGTTTCTTTTTTTTTCTCTCCAGTCCAGACTTTATTCTGTGGACGTGTGTTTTGAAACCATGTCCTAAAGTCATGCCCTAAAGAGGGCTCAATAGGTTTTTAACTACCAATAATAAATTAGAATTAGCTGTGCATACTGTTTCATAGCTGTTTGTTCTTTTACCTGGTTCTTGGTTCACTTATTCACTTCCTCTGTTTTCTCCCTAAAATAAATCTTAAAGAATTAACCACTTAAAAGTGTAAAGTCCTTAGGGAAACCTATTTAACTTACCAGATTTTCAGATAATTTAATGCATTAGGAAACAATTTGAGTAATAATTTTCAAGTGATGATTGCATGGTTCAGTTAGGAGGGTGTCTGAATACACAGTTTTTGTGTCTTGATTGAGTCTTGCTTTATGAAAGTCTAACTTTGAGAGAAGGGATGGTGGTTAGAGTTGGGATGATGATGGCATATCGTGGGTGGTAGACTTAAAGTCAGGATATTTCTGAGGGCTGGTGGCAATGCTATTTAGTACTTCATGGCGCTTATGTGTGGTTAATAGTATTTATTCTGTGCCTGCACCTGACTCTCCCAAGTACTTTGTAGTAAAGACCTACTTTTGCTTTTTGTCTTCTAAAGCTCTTAGGATTTTGGATCAGCTAGTGTGTGTCTAATCTTAAGTTGTCTAGCTGTGATAAAGACCCGAGAAAACATTGAATGTTACAGTTCTTTCAGCTTAGATCAACTGTAAAGATCAGCTTTAGATCAACTTCCTCAGAAAGATTATGGTGTAGCATACTTATGGGAGAATGATAACCTTCCTCCCCAAATATTTTGGCTTTGATTACTGCAACTGTTGTCTTGGAGAAAGGGTAATTGTTGATAGCCATTTAGGATCCCACTGCAAAGGAACTTAATATGAAGAAGCATTAATATTCTATATTGGAACAGTTTTTGTTTCATTTGAGTTGTAACTATTGTGAACAGTATATCTCCTTCAGAAACATGCACAAATTTTGGACTAAGTATTACACAAATAAACTATTCAGCCATTTTTACATTTTTCCTTACTAACTCTTGTTCTTTAAGGTTTTTACTATCTTCTAGTATGAAGTTTTATATGCTTACCAGAAAGTCTTTTACTATTTTTTAAAACATGGCTGAGAATGTAACTTCTGTTAGCTAGGTACATACTACAAGCAGGGTCAAGCATTTTGAAACCTTTTTAACCTCTGGACTATAGCTGCACAAACAATTTGGCCTTGACAGACACTTAACTGACCAGCTGGCTTGTTAGCTCATTGAAGTAAACAAATCCCCAAGTATGAAAGTGATGGGCTGAATCCCCAAGTATGAAAGTGATGGGACTCCAGCCAATTCCTTTGAACAAAGGATTCACCCACATTATTGGCCAGTGAGCTTGGTGAAATTGAAACCTTTCTCCAGTCGACTCTATGAGCAGGAAATTTGAAGCCCCTATAAAAAGGACTGCCCTTCAATAAACGCTGGCTGTTTCTGCATGAATATGGAGTGTCATGTTGCTTGTCTGTCTCTGAAACTGCAACAATAAGCTATGAAGAACTGTCTGTACTATTTATTTTACTTTTTATGACTTTCTAGCAACCTATCAAGCAATGGCTTGATGGTTCTGATTGTAGGTGATCAGATGCTTTAAGGTCAGTATCTGATGTTCATTTTTTTGTTAAGTTTCTGTCTCACTTAAAATGTTAAATACATTTCAGATATGCAATGTCTTTTGGAATACTTGTTGAATATTCATCATCTGATTTCACAGCACTGAGTTATTTTCTTTATGAAGTAGATTTTTTTTCATGTGATATAACTAAGACTGCTTCCTATATATTGTTATTTTTCCTTAACTAAATGTAGCTTAAATGATACCTTTTCAGGTATGTTTTTCGTAGTTTTCTTCAAGTCCTACAACATATCCTTGCTGTATTTTTGAAATAGGAGAGAACTGTTTAGAATTATAATGTCTTGAGATGAGACTTTCCAAAACCCTCGCTTCAAATTCCATACCATTTTTCTTTAGTTATTTGTTTACTCAAGATTGGATTAGATATTTCAACAGTCATAGAACTTTATTAAAAACCACTATGTTCTTGGATGGTCTATTATGTCAGTGTAGTTTAATTTTTAAAATCTCTCATAGCATTAGACTACACAGTAATATTTAATAGTGGAGAAAAATAATCCTCCATGTGTCTACTATCCTTATTGGCTACTGTTACAGAATGCTTTGGCAGATTAAGCCTTTTGTGTACAGCTGGATGTTTTCATCGACTTGAGATAAGATTTGCAGTTTCATGTGTACAGTTTCATGTATTTCATCCCATTCCAGCTCTGAAATATTCCTTATTTGGTAGAGGAAGAGTTGCTCAAGTAAGATTCTCTAGCTTCCATAGATAGCAGATACCATCTCTGATGAAAGTTTTAAGTGTATTTTGAGAACACAGATAATCTGAATGAACTTCTGCTTCTGTCACCTGTGGTGCTGGAATTGCCTGAAATGTTTGGACATTTCTAGGGAATATTTCTCAGCCTTTTAAGTCATACATGTGCTAAGAACTCTTACTTGTGCTAAAGAATATGAATATCCTTACTGTTGCAACATTTATTTTCTTTTTGCCTAAAACCGAAGCCAGCAAGGGTATCAGTATTTGAACTCAGTTAAGAAATAAGATAGCAATGAGATGAGGTACTTTGTTAAACAAAGCAAAGTGTCGTAGAGGTGATAACAGATGTGCATTTATTAACCACATGGTGTGGCTCTGCTCATCTCCCTTACTTAAGCTTCTGAGTCTTTTTTTCCTGCTGGTAAAAGTTACACATTCTGTCCCTGTGGAATATAAGGACAGAATAAATAAAACAATTATCCATGATGTTCAAAACTGTTGTCTCAGACATAAAAATGCTACGTAACTGAGATAAGGACTTCACTAACTGAAGTAGCTTGGTGGTTCTGCATTGCAAATAAGGGGCAAAAGCGTTTTGCTCACTATGTTCAAGTACACTTTCTGCATTTGGGAAAGAACGAGAAACATAATTTCAGCTGCTTTAAAAGTATTAAGACCTCTTATTTCTATTTCTTTTTGAACAAAGCTGTGTTAGATGTTTACAGATGTAATTTGCTGTCACTTGCCATATGCTGCCTGATTAATTCTGCAGGGCCTGTCAGCTTCAGATAATTTAATTTTCTGTGCTTTAAAATGACATTCATTATCAGGACATGAAAAATTCAAATGATTAACTGCAAATTACGACTAATAAAGTGTCTATTTTTTTGTTTGTTTCCAGAGAAAAACAGAAAGCTGAAGTCAAGGACAGAAGCATTTTAGAGATTTTGCATGCCAAAGATAGCAAAATGGAACATGTTTCTCTAGAACATGTTTGTATTATGTTTAAATAGAGCAGTTAAGAAAACTTGTCATTGCCAACACATTTGTGTTCATCAAAATGAGAAAATAGTTTGCTATTGTGTCTTAAGAAAAAAGTTGTATTCAGAGTGAAAAAGATGATTCAGAGATTATGAATTTCTGATGGAGTATTATTTAAACTTTTCTGTGTTGTTCAAACAGTTGATCTGTTACCTAAAAAGTTAATCTCATTTTAGATTAAAATTTTCTGAAAAATCTTGTCAATTCTTTGCCTCATCTTACCCTATAGTCTAACCTAAACGTGGATCTAAATCTAGCAGAGTGTGCTGGTTTGTAATGTGCCCATGCACATCTTGGTAAGATTTGCCATCCTGACAAGTACAAAATAATTAACCAGATGCATCTTCTGCCTGACAAGAAACACTGCTGAACTGGTGGTGTTTCTCCTTTTATTTATTTTTGAATCAATTCATATTTAAACAAATATATATAAAACATGCATGTGTTACATATGATATGAAGTACAATAGATGTGTTGTATTTTGATTTGTAATTGTTTATTTTACAGACTATATAATGTATAAATAGTAGATTCTGTGTCCCATATATAATCTGTATTATATACTTTACATACTATAGAATTTTATCCACTATTTAATATATTAGATGTAATATGATGTATTACATTGCATATAATATGTAGAGCTATGAAAGATGTAATTATTGATAAAATAATAAATAAAATACTGTTTATTATTGAATAAACTTTAGTTTGTATTGCACAGTGGCTGAAGTTTCAGTGTGGTATCTCATGATGGTAGGTGTGATGTGTAATGTGTTTGGTGCATACACACACATCGTGTTTAGAAGCCAGCAATGTATGATTTCTATCCTGTCCTTACCTGAAAGACAAAATACCTGTGAAGACATTTATAGGAATATATTTGCAGTTCTGTGCTTTTAAGAAGGCTGCCTGCTGTGGCAGTGTCTGAACCTAGGATGTGCATTCTCCATGAGGTTGCTCTCTGTGGTTTCAGATCAATTTCAGAAGCTGAAACTCTTAATTGATCAGAAATCTGAAATTGATGGTGTAATGCCTTTACATCATCCATGTGGAAATGGAGAGAGGCTGGTAAATGTAACTAAAACCATGGAAATTTGGCAGCCAGGAAAGAAGAGTTTGTCAACAGGATGGTAAAACTCTGGATATACATACCAGCTTGGGAATGAGAGGTGGGAGGGTAGCCCCACAGAAAATACAGGGATCCTTGTTCACAGAACATGGGTCAGCAGTGCCCTGGCAGCCAGGAGGGCCAACCCTGTCCTGGGGGGCATCAGGCACAGCTCCACCAGCCAGGCAAGGGAGGGGATTGAACTGCTCTGCTCTGAGCTGGGGCAGCCTCACCTCGAGTGCTTGGGCCAGTTTTTGGGTACCACAGTAATGACAGTAGTGAAGGGCCTTGAGGGGAAGCCTCATTGAGAGGAAGATAGGAATGACTGAAACTACTTGGCTTGTTCAGCCTGGTGAGGAGGAGAGCTCATTGTGGTTTAAGACTTCCTTATCAGGGGAAGAGGTGGGGCAGCAGTGATCTCTTCCTGCTCCCAAAGGATTGGCTGGGAGATGTCAGGGTAGGTTTGGGTTGGGTATTAGGTAAAGTTTCTTCATGTTGAGGGTGGTTGGGTGCTGGAACAGGCTCCACTGGGAAGTGGCCATTGCACTAAGCTTGCCAGAGTTCAACAAGCATTTGGACAATGCTCTCAGGTGTATGGTGCGATTCTGGAGGTTGTCTTGTGCAAGCCCAGGAGTGGACTTTATGGTCCTTGTGGGTTGCTTCCAAATCGGGATATTCTGTGGTTCAGTGATTCTAACAGATGAGGAGAACAGAAGTTGTTTTGCTGATGATCACAACTCTAATGCAGCCCTTACAGTTAGCTTCCCTTAGAGTGTCATTGTCTTGGGGAGTGCAGGTTGTGAAGTGCACCAGATGGTACCAATGCTATGTTATGAAAGCAGTGTACAGAGGTGATGTCATGCTGACTTTTCTTGCCTCTTCCGTTGGCTGGAATGCTGTAGGATTGAATCAAGAGAGGTATTGCTTCCTCTGTGCTAGGTTTTAGTGATTTGGTATCAAAGAATGGGGCTGGCTTAAAAAACAATTTAGTTTTACTGAATGTACTCCTTTGTTCATCTAAGGAAGAAAAGATACTATTTATGTAATTAACATGCAAATAGTTTGCTTGTTAAAATGTGCATTTTGACAGGCATGGTAATGAATGTTCTTTTCTGTAAAGTACAGACAGGAAGACTTGAAGGCTGTGTATTTCAGTTTACTAATTTTTTACATCTAGGAAGTTGAAATTAGCCAGTCATGTCTTCTGTTGTTTTTCTCGTTGCCTTCATGCATCACACAGAGATACCAGTTACAAGAAGATAATTTGTTGTAGGGTTTATTGTCTAGGAATTTCTGAGTGGCCACCAAAAAGCTGATTGTATAAATCAATGCTGAGTAAGGGAAAAAAGAAAAACCAGTGGGCTGTCTCAACATTTGACATAGATGTAAGCTTCTATTGCTTCTAGAAATAACAAGAAAACCATATAAGGAGAACATGAGATTATATTTCTTGTGTTGTGCTTAGGCTTTATCCTGACATGCCTAAAAGGACTTTAAAAATTTCTGTAAATATGAGTACATATTCTCTACAGCCTAGATGAGATACATCCATGAGTTAGCTCATACTGAAAGCTAAATAAGCTTAATTCATAAATATTTCAAGTATTAGAGAGGTTTCTATTTTAATGGATATTACTGAAAATCAAGTAAAATAGTAAGTTTGAAAACTATGATTCTGAAATAATATAGTATTTAAGTATATTTGTATAACTTAACAGTGAAGAAAAGTGTTAATATACTCATGAAATGGGACTTTTGGCTTTAGGGATAAAAGTCTAAATCATAATTTTTCAAAGCTTCTATTGTCCAGTATCTTTGGACTAGAGTGTATATGCATTGAACTTCTGTTTAGTTAGTACAACTTTAGTTTTTCACCACTCCTAAATGATGATATTGTAATCTTCAGTTTTCTGTACAATGAATAAGACCCTTTTTCTTTTTATGAGTTTATTCCATAACTTCATGTTGTGTTAAACATTTAAAATATGAAGTAGTGTGGAACATTTAAGGATGTACCATTTAAGATTAAATGAATTTGTTAAAGCACGTAAGATTATTCTTGTCTATTATTGCACATAAATTCAGCACAGAATATATTGTATTTGAGTTTTCCATTGTACTTTTACCTTCTTGATTTTTTTAAATTGGTGTATTGGTAGCTTTTTGTCCTGATAGTCACAACTGGGCCTCATCTGGCATGTAGATGTATTAATTTTAAATGCTGTGTGGTAAAAATCTTATTCCTTTGAGATTAGTGCGTTGATTGCTATACTGATTTTTTACTATTTTTGTTTTATGCAGTGTCTCAAAACTGTTCTTAGCAGTTATATATCCCTGAAATATATGCATCAGTTCTCTGTTTCAATGAAAATAATTTCTAACTGCTAAGTTTAAGTGGCTAGGATGCTCTCTTAGAATTTTACTTCTTCTGAAGACGGATAGATACTTTGCTGCAGAAGTCTTTTCATTGTCTTTTTTATTTTGAAACATTTTTAACATTTTGTATTTAATTTATAATAAATGTATGTATCTTAAGTAGATCACTGATGCTGTTTTTTTCCTTAAAAAGTAAGATAAGGTTTCTGGGGGAATGTGAAATTTTTAAATTCAAGCAATTAGTTTAGCAGATAATGTTGGAACAGGGAACAGTCTTCTGCCATTCACACAATAGATAAATTAAGGTATCTTAACCTGCTTTCTGTAGAAGATGACATTAAAGACATGTAAAAATAGCAGTAAACCTTTTCTTATAATATTGTTAATTAATTAGCTTTCAATTTTGATCTGGAGGAACTAAAGCTAATCTTTTTGTCCTAGACCTTGTAACGTTTCAAAACCTAATCAACTGATTATACTCTAGAGGGGTTAAAATAGTACTAGTTTGCCTCATTATCTGCTCTTGAAAATCTCCAGCTTGCTGTGCAAATCTATGTTAAAGCCCCTTTAATGGGTCCAATTGACAGAAGCATAATTCTACCTTCAAGCATTAATTAATACTGATAAATTTTTCTTAACTTTTGTTATATTTTTCTTTGTAATAAAATACTTTTATTAAATTAGAACAAGTGTATGCAGATATTATTACAATCTAAATACTTTATTTTCCGTAGCATGTAAGCTTGATTATTCTTGGGTAATGAGGGACATGAGGATAATTTTGGCAATAAGGTGTTCAGATGAATGTGTCAGCAGTGTTGAGATTGTGTGAATTTTATAAACTCTTTACAAAAAAAGTTTGTCCAGTGAATAAGATTTATATGTACTGCAGACAAAGCATGTTGAAGGGGACACTAACACTTGTGGTTTTTTATTTTTTAAATAAGTGGTTTGGGTTGTGCATTGGAAAAGGGGTCAGCCTTAGTGATGAAACCTATGTTTTATGTAGCACCTTTGAACTGCATCAGTGAATTATCATATGTTTTTTTGCCTTTCTGTTTCACATTTTCCTGTTAGTTTTCTCATAAAATTAAGGGAAAGAAACCTTGTTAAGGAGCTGATATCAGTGAGAAACATTGGAAGAAAAATATACAAACAGTTGAAAATTGCTGATTTTGGTTTACTGATAGATTGCTATCTGAGGTAGGTCGTATGATGACTATGTCTGATACCTGCAGGCTCTTTTGACTGAAGAAATTAATAAACTCTAAATTACAGTGTACCTTTACAGCTCATTAGTATTTTTGTATGAATTCCCAATAGGAAGGCTTTTTCTACCAGTTGAAAATGTGTTTCTGTGAGATAGCTTGCTCCATTTTGAGGAAATTGTTTTTAAACTTTTTCCTACTTAATTCTGCAGAAAAGAAGCTATTTTGGGTGTTTATACAGGTGTGCTGTAAATCTATACCTTACCTCTTCCATAATTCATATGAGTAGCTATTCCTGAAGTTGGCTAAAGCTTCTGGGTTTTTATTACTCAACCTTCATATTTTTAGTGGTGTTTCTACAGAGATGGTACCTGCACTTGGATTAGACAGAAAAACAAAAAGTAACCAAAGAAATGTAATGTCTCTTGTCCCCTGCCCAGCACACTAATTTAAAATGTGTGACTTCTTGAATAGTGAGCAGAGCTCAGTAGTCAAACCTGGAAAGAAGAGGGATGTTACATTCATGATCTCCTTCATCCTCTTGTCTGCTAGTGTGTAGTTGGGAAATTTCTT